CGAGGTACAGCGGCTGCAGGTGGAGGGCGCGGGGCCGGCGCGGTGTCAGGGCATGGCCTCGCTGCACCTGCAGGACATCAGTCTGCCGCTGCGCAGGGACTACGTCAGGCATCTCAATGCAGGTACCTTGACACGACAACTTATGTTGAGACTAGCTATCGCCAGCGACTCCGTCCACGCGGAAAAAAAACTTAATAAGTAGCCTATGCCTTCCTCCAGATTATGTTGTACATCTGTGCCAAATTTCACCAATATCTGTCGAACCGTTCTGGAGATACCTTCAAATAAACATCCATCCATTTAAACATTCGCATTTATAATATTAGTAGGATAGTAAGATTATACTTATTCTATATTAAAGGAAGTCCTTTTAGTTTTTTACTGAGTATGGATGCGGTGATATTTTACTTTCCCTAAGTCCCATCAAAATCGGTCCAGCCGTTCCAGGCATACAGACAGACATGAAAATGTTAAAAATTATTTTTCTATTATATTATCAGCAATATAAACATATTATGTATACGAAATGTAACATTTTTTCGATATTACAGACACTCTTTTTTGTATTAGCTTTCGCCCGTAGTTTTGTCCGCGCGGAAAAAAATAATAATTAGTAGCCTATGTGTTTTTCCAAACTATGTTCAGCCGTTCTGGAGATACCTTCAAACATCCATCCATCCAAACAATCACAGCACTAGCACTAAAGGATGTATACCTACTCGAGGCAATAAAGATAAGTTTAGTATTATATTTAGGTATATGTATAGAATAGAAGTGGATGTAGTTATGTTGTGTTGTGTGCACACAGACGGAGCGGTGGGTCACCAGGCGGTGTGCCTGCTGAAGTGCCGCGACCGCGTGGTGGCGAGCAGCATGCAGCTCACCTCGCCCAGCGCCACCACCCTGCACTTCCCCGACCTCATACGTATGGACGGACTCGCCAGCGACTTCAAGGTTAACCATCCTAACACCTCTCTTCTCACCTGCAGTCTTCTGCTGTTGCCAAAAAAAGGCTACGGATTGAAGGGTTAACCCTTTAACTGCTAACCAAACTGCTCTCAGACCTTAACCAAACTTACACGTTATGTAGTTTTCTTACATATATTTAATTGATGTATATTTTAATGATTTTCTGTATTTTTTTCCTTTCATAACATTGCTTTTGTTACTTATTCGATACGGAAATGTAAATTAATTTGAAATTTACTGAAATTTCCAGGTCACAGTTGAGATCTATCTGTTGCAAGCAACGAAAGAAATTCTTCCGCACGATGTTAAATATCACATCTCTAATAAAAAGGTAACTAAAACATTTTATTATAATATTTAAACATTCAAAATATCTTTAACTGTACCGCAGTGATTTTTTTTATTATTACTAGTGTTATATACTTTATGGTATTTTTTTTTTCGATTAACACACACAATGCTGATGATCCGTAAGTACTATCAGGGAATCTGGTAGTATTTCACCGTAAAAGTCACAGTCGAACACTTTGAGTCAAAGCAAACATATTATATCTACAAAAAAGTCGGTCAGTGATATACAACTAATCGCTTTTTACTATTATCCTGACTCGCGCGAATCGCTGCTTACTATTATTTTATAAGAGACGGTTGCAAGAACCAAGGTAATAATTCTGCAAGTGGAACACCGAAAATTTGCCTGACTGTACTAAAGTGATGTATAAGAAAAGTGAATTAATGGGCATGTTTCAGGGCAATTCGAAGCTGCTGACGCCGAAATCTAAGGTGTCAGAGCTAAAGGCGGTGCGGGTGCAGAGTCCTGCTGGTCCTCACGCGGTGCGCTCCCCTCAGTTCACGCTCCATGGATACTGCATATTCGCACTGCAGCAGGCCTCCAGGAAGACATTCACTTTGAATAAGGTATGTAATTATTACATGCCAAATAAAGGCTTAAATGTGGTACTAAATCCTATATTTGATGGCAGTTTAATTTATATTTATATCAGAAATAGTAAGCTAAAGTGTGGTAATAGGTAGAAATTGTTTTGGTATGTATTTAATATAATTGGCGAAGTATTTACGATTTATCCAAAGCTGGTATTATAAGGCCGTTATTTGGAACAAGAAATAAGTAAAAGACGCTTTAATTTAAAGTTGACAAAATATATTAGAACAACGCCATCTAGTTATATAACGACGACTTACGAAGGCGTCTATTTGAATTATAATAATGTGGGTTCGATCAGGTGCCTTGTGGCAGTCCTCTGGAGGGAAGTCTGAACGTGGAGATCCGCGCCAAGCTGCGCGTCTCCGCACCCGCGCCGCACGCCGCCTTCCTCACCGCCTTCGACGACGTGTCCGGCCTCGGCGCCTGGCACCGCCGCTGGTTCAAGCTCACCTCCCCTCGTCTGCAGTACTGGAAGTATCCTGATGATGCCAACCGCAAGGTAAAACATGTACAGATAACATGGACGTCGCGTGGGGGGTAGCTGACCTTCCCTTAAACCCCCTGGTGACGCCCAACGTCATGTTTGACCAATAAGGGAGCAGCTGCACGGCTTAATCATGCCATTTTCATAATTTCGAAATATAATAAAAAAATATCACGCATTCATTTTGCTAATGTATCGGTTTAAATAGTAAGGAATAAATATGAATTGAGCGTCGGTGGCTCAGGGGTTAAGCACTTGACTTGCAATCTGCAGGTCCTGGGTTCGAATCCCGCCTTGTACCAATGTGTTTTTCTATTTCCGATTTACATATGTACATTTATCCGACGTTCTTACGGTGCAGGAAAACATCGTGATGCAACCTGCACATATCTGAGATGAAATTCAAAAGATATGTGTGAAGTCAACCAACCCGCACTTGGCTAGCGTGGTTGACTATGGCCTAATCACCCTTAACTTAGGGTAGGCTCCGATCCCTTGGTGGGGGCGTATAGTGAGCTGATGATGCTGAAATATGAAATCCAGGTCATAAATTGCGTGGAGTTTCAAAATGGACGACTATCGCAAAAATTTAGGACATTTTTGGTAGATGGTAACCCTAAAAGGCTATGGCTATGTCGATTAAACTGCCATAAAACCCTTTATATTTTAGTCATAGGATAGAAGTATACACATGCGTTAAAAAGATTCATTACTTTACTAATATTTTTTTTTATCCAGATGCCAATCGGTGACATAGACCTATCAACGGTGGTATCAGACAGGGTCATCCGAGCTCCGAGAGATTTGTGCGCGAGACCGAACACGCTTCTACTAGAGACATCAGTACCCATGGGACTCGCGTGTCCGGAGTCCGGCTCACTGATCTACTTCCGGCGTCCGGACGGACAGATCGTCCGGCGACATCTGCTGGCCGCTGACACTCCTAAAGATAGAGACGAGTGGCTTGATTGTCTTAATAAAGCGCTCGAGTATGTGAGATGTTGTGCTACTGATGATGATTGAATTAACAATTTCATAGAGATTTTCTAATTAAATTGCATCTTAAGGTCTATTTCCACTGGTTTACAAAATGACACGTGTGATCAGTGTGTAAGTGTCATTGGATGCACTCTGGAGTGTTGTAAAAAATGCATCTTCATTGGATTAAGCTAAATCTAGATACAGACGTCGCCTGTGTCATGATAAAAAAACAAAAATACATTAAAGTATGGAAAATGATAAAGAAGAAGGTCATTTGGATATTTTATAATGCTTTAATTTTTAATAAGACTAGAATAAGATACATATAATGCAACATAATTACATATATAGATATTTTTTATAATAATAACACAATAGCAACTCGTCTAGACATAAAGATAAAGCTTAAAAAAATATTTTACTAGACTCAAAAAACTTTTCTATCGGTAAAAGTATTTTTATAATTGGCTAAAATATGTTTACAGTTTTATCGAAGCATTTTTTTTAATTTAAAACATAATTAAAAAAACTTACAAGTAAATTTTCAATAAATATGGGTACATCTAGCAACATTAGGTATTAATTTTAGTAATGTAGACTTTAAAACAATAGACAGGACAATTTTTAAATTGTAATTTTAACAAGGAAATTATAAATACAATGTTAATTTCTATTTTATTTTGATTATAACAATATTTTGTGGAATATTTTGACTGAAATTAATCAAAATGCAAATTACAACAATTCAGACATTAAACACTTTAAATGATTTTTTTTTTTAAGAAAAAGTAATTAATAAAGTTTTTTATTAATATAAAGAAATTACTTATATCAGCATTATTAATCATGTTAATACGATTTTTTTAAGATTTCTTGTAAATTAATTTTATGTTTTAATTAAATTGAAAATCCGCGGTGCTTTTTTTGTGGACGTATAATATCAATATTAGTTATGTTATTGGTCATAATAATATACTACTATGGTATATTATTCTTAAATTCATATGAGTTGTGTATTTTATCATTTTGACAGTAAAGTGCATTTCCACTGGCGAAATACTTAAAATAACTTTTTCATTCTGCTGCATTTATCCTGCTTCTCTTTTATACAACATATAAGTGTTATGATAGTGGAATTAGAGTTTAAATCGTCAGATTGGTCGGATTCAGTAGACATGAGAAATTATACGAAATCTATCTAAAAAATTACCTTTATAACTTCTGTAGTCACAGATTTATCAGAGAAGACATATTTATATCGTTAATTTAAACATAGCATGTTCCAAAATAAATCCATAGACGTCTTTAGCAAGTTAAATATATGAATATAATTTCTTATTTCCATTGAATTCGATTTTACATATTTTGGTAAATTTCTATACTGAGTGTTTACCCGCGGATTAATTATAATAATGATATAATGTGTATCATTTTGCAATAATTTTAATTATATTGTGTAAATACAATCAAATGAGTACAATAAAAAGTTTGTATAAGCTTGTCAATTTTTTTATTTTAGTTAAATTATTTAGCAAATCAAATTAGTATTTTCAGGAGGGAGAAAACTTTGTCGTTTACCTTAATTTTAAACCAAATTTATAATATATTTTGTATAAAACGTATAAAAGCGAATTTTTTCTAAAAAAAATGTAACTCAAAGAAGCATTTTATCTAATGACTACAATGTTTTATATAAGCTGGTTATATATTTTGAATGTTCACTTGTCATCGTCCTCGTAGTCCCAGGAGAGGTCGTCTCGTTCTGCCTTACGATGTTTACCCAACTTTTCCTTGCCCAGGGACTGTTTCAAGTCGTGCTGTAACAGAGAAATATATTGCAGCTTAAAAAAGAAAGTACGAATCATCTTAGCATAGAATGTGGTGCCATCTATCGGAAAGATGCGACTTCTATATTAATAATTTACTTGTATTATTTATTTAGGTACCTTTCTGTATGTAAATGCTAAAGCTATTAAGGTAACCTTGAATGAATGGTTGGATAATTTTTTTTTATATCAAATAAGTTGTCGCCCGCGCCTCCGTCCGCGAGTAATTAAAAAAAAACTTAATAAATAGTCTGTTCTTCCAGATTATGTTCTACAGTTGTACCAAATTTCATCGAGATAGGTTAAGTCGCTCCAGAGATACGATCCAACAAACATCCATCCATACTTTCGCATTTATAATATTAGTAGGATTAGTGAAATGAATGTGCAGTTTAATAACTACTATAAAGTTACAATAAACTGCCGGCAAATATGTGCGAACTGGCTGCAGTCGAAGCGGGACTCGGCGGAGGGCGAGCGCTTGCCGGCGCTCCAGTCGCGGCTGAAGGTCAGCTGAGCCGACACTAGCGCTGCCACCAGCGCGCACACCAACACCACACGAACACCTCTACACACAGACTTAAAATGAATTAACACACACGCTAGATTTAAAATTAATTCGTTATTTATTAATCATATAAAACGCTGAAATCTTCTTTACACTACTGTTTAGTTGTGGTATCTCACCGATAACGGGTCATGGGCCCCTCAAAAATTAGTTTTCGTAAGTTATTTTGGTATTTTTATTAAAAATAATGCTTGCCTGCACGGAAACATCATATTGGAAGTTTTCAAATTAACTGAACAAAATTAAATCGAAGACAATTTCATAAACAAATTCACATCATATGTCATCCTTTTAAAATATCACTATCACTAAATTTCAAACATCCCGCGAGAGTTCCAGAAGATATTTGCAAGATAAACGCAAACGTACCTTTTTATATGAAAATATTTTGTATCTGTCCTGCGCAATTCAAGCGATTGGCGGAAAGTAGGCGTGGATTTATGAATCGGACTTGTGAATAGAAATCGAAAGAATAGAGGGATTACAAATACTTTGAGTTTAAATCTATAAAAAGAACATCAACCCGACTGTCTGTTGTGTTTTTAAGCTTACGTTTCTACATAAATACAATATACATAAATTTAAGTGCAAAGTCAGTGAACTATAACTATTCTATAACCGAATAATTAGTCTTAAAAACACACTTACAAATAATTAAAACACTGCTTATGTTAAATGCATGCTCAAACAATGATAAAGGAATGTCATTTTATTATCTTTGATCAGATCTCAAGATGTTTTAATGCGAAAAGTTTTGGTAGCACAAGCTCACTAAAAGAGTCCCGAACTAAACAAAAACTTAATGGTCACAGTACAATATGTTCCCAAACATATAAATAAATTCCTTTGATCGGATAGCCCTTTGCCAGCGTGCAGTATCCACACAATAGCGTGCGAGCGGACATATGGCGCTACTTGTCCTTTGTCCCACCTACCATTGTGTGCGGTTATTTATGTATTTACAAGCTCTCAAAGAGTTTCTTAACATTTATCTACATATATTTGAAAGATAGACACAAATTCGAAAGACTTCTTATATTAATAATTTATATGTGTCAATCATTTACACCGTTATCTTTAATATGTTTCACATTTCAAAGACAAAATTGACAAAACAAAGAAATTTAATCGCAGTGTAAAATTAAAGCGCCTGTCAAAAATAAATAGCAAAGTAAATATTATAAATAACTGCTATTTCGACTAATAAAGGCAAACCTCCACAAACACCCACTGTTTTATTAAAGGAAGGCATAATACTTATTTGAAAACAAAATACAAATCTTTGAATTATTCTACATTCAACATATGTTGTCCGTTATTATTTGAGATATATATAGTCTTTATTCCCCTGCATCAACATGCAAGCAGTATTGCACAATATTTCATCTATTGCGGTTGTCATGCGTTTTATAAGATAATAGTCTGTGATGATGATTGAATACTTCTCCATACAGATAACTAAACCTTAATACCTAAGAACAGATATACATATTTGAATTCTAATACCGTCGATTTCTGAGACCAACAAAAATCATCGCCGTTTGGAACATATTCTTACCTCTGTTTTGTCAAACATAATGACAGGGACGATATGTTTTATACAGAGATTTTGGTCTCAGAAATCGGTAAATGACTGGATAAAGCACATTACACACTATATCTATTCACTCATCCACCAGTGCATTACACAATGTCAACGTAATCTTGGCTACCCTCGGCTCTTTAACATTCCATTTTATAAATAGACTAACAATGTAGTTGTTACATACCGTTCACCTTTAGTGAACAGTGTCGATGGCTCAGGGGTTAAGCATATGACTTGTAATCTGCAGGTCCTGGGTTTCGAATCCCACCATGTATCAACGTGTTTTTTATTTTATTTCCGACGTTCTTACGGTGAAGGAAAACATCTTGCTACCTGCACATGAAGTCAAGCCGCACTGGGCCAGCATGGTTGACTATGGTCCAGTCACTCCTAACTTAGTGTAGGCTCCTAGTCCCTTACTGGAGACGTATTGTGAGCTGATGAATAAATAAATTAGTGATTTGAAAACGGTTCATAATTTTACGGTGACATTTTAGAAGCAGAGTTTTAAGAGTGGTAGAACCCGCTTTAACATCTTCGCACAAGTTGGCCAGGTTCGCCCGGTGAAATACCACCACCACACAGATAACAGGCGTGAATTGGAAGCAATTCCGCGTTTCGTCTGATGAGTGTGCGTCCCGGAGGCCTAATTTAGTCCTCTTTCCCTTCCCACCCTTTTCTTATAAAGAAAGGATGGGAAGTGGAAGTGGACTTTCCGGATGAGAGGATGCATGGAAAGGGAAAATATTTTCTTTCTGTGCATCCTCTCCTCCGTCGATTAAAGGTAGGCAACGCATATGCAATTGCGTATGTCTATGGGCAACGGTCACTTGGCTACTTCAGCGATTTCAGGTGGCCGCTCGTTCGTTTGCTACCTTATGATATAAAAAAAGCAGTATTTGCAACGAATCTTTGATTTTTTTTATAAATCTTTTTAATAAATAAATCAATTTATATTACATTAACTTTACAATGGATAAAGGAAATAACAAATATCTTATCTTTAATTTCACAAAGCTATCGGCCTCGATAACATTCTGATATTCATTTTAACAGCAAATCAAATAAAAATGTACGAGAAACATAATTTTTATTTTATATTACTATATATATTTGTTACTAACTGCACTATACAGAAACTACTCCATACATTAGACATGGAACAATGTAGAGATACTTTACTGTTTGCATAAAAAAACAACTCTCTTATTCTCTACTAGCTGTAGCCCGTGACTTCTCACGCGCGGGATTAAAAAAAAACTAATTAGCAGCCTATGTGTTCTTCCAGACTGTATGCCATAAACGAGATCCATGCAGCCGTACTGGAGATCTTTTAACAAACATTCTATTCATCTAAACATTCGCATTTATAATATCAATATAGTGAGATGATATAATGTCTGCTATTCATTTGTTTATTAGTTGATATTCAATTTATAACAGGAGACATTTATAATGGAATTTCACAGAATAACAGAAGTAGTGATTGAATCATTTGAAATCAAAGTACAATTTTACTATCACATTGTTTTGACGTGCTTACAAATATCTTTATACTTTTACATTGTAAATAAATACGTCATTTCATTTAATTACAATATTGTCCATCTCTTTATATTTACGAATGACGAAAGACATTCGCAATATATTTTGTGTTTGTGTTTCAAATTTCTATAACAATGTTATTAAAAACATTTAAAAATACGTTGATAATGAATTACAATATATTCATAATCTCTACGGAAATGATTTCGTGAATAACTACGTACCTTGGTAATAACACAAAACTTCTATTAAATTGTAGAATTATTGGGACACAAAGTTTAGTACGAAATTAAATGAAAAATCTTCTCAAATAAATGCATATGTTCCTTTGTATTCGTCTGTCTGTTCATACCTCTTGGTTAACGGTGTGATAGTTATGCGTATTTTAGAAATATAATTGAAACCTTTAGAATGTTTTGTAGTTTGTTCACTGTCGATCGCATCTCGTTCAGTAACACGCAGCACTATTTATAACTCGTTTTATTCCGTAGTAAAAACAATAGGATTCGATCGATTGATGATTTTGTCAAAGAAATCTTGACCTTCACATCAATCTTATTATTTCGATAGCTTGGTGATAGCAAGACAGATTTTTTCGACCATCTCGAATGGAAAATAACAAGTCAGTGTGCAATCGACATTTACGTACGCACCACGTCTCTCCGCGCTTATTATCTTTGCGCGGGAAACTATATGTCAAGCGAAACGAGTATATCCAGGGGACTTTACTAGTCGTGAACACCAGCCTGAGTTGACTGGCCGATTGACAGACGCGGTAAGTTTGTATTGTTTTTTTTTCATAATAAATATGGCTTGATGCAGAAATTGTAACATGCCAGTATTCTTAAATTAATTAAAAAAAATTACGTCGTCGAGTTGAAAAAAGTTTTTTTTTTATTTCCTTAGTCACTTTATAGCGATTGATTAATTTAAATTATTCGTTGCATTGAAGGAAATGTAGAATAAGTAGAGCGTTTTAATTTCCATTCTTTACCCACTTTCAAATCCCGTTTGCTGCAGTACAGTACTATAACCATAGAGTAAATAATGTTTACAAACAACGGGACACACTATTATCTATGCCTTAATTGATATTGACAGTTAAATATTAGTTGCCCTAATACTACTAGTTGCCCTATTGGTCGAAATACGAACTTATATTAATCCCCTCCATGACTAATAATTAAATATTATCAAAATTCGTTATAATAACATTTAAAACTTTAACAATAACTTCAATTCCAAAACATTTATACGACCGTTCTTCAATATTTATCCTTGCAGCTGTCTTTCCGAAGCTAAATACCGCTGAATGTCAAAATTATATCAACATTTAACGAGCAATTAGTAAATAATTACATTTAATTACGATTAACAGTTAATTTTAACTTCCGGTTTGTTTAACGAAAGTAATATTCGTTTACGAAACATTTTTTGCTTATGCACTGTATTTTGAATCGATTTGTTTCAAATTTAACCAATATAAAGATCACAATTACAGTAGAAAGATGGTAAAATATTTGAGAGTCGATCGAAAAAATTAAATAAGATAATAAACCGGACAATTTCGGTAACTATAAACTATAAAGCGATGCATTTAGAATTAAAAGAAGCCTTTCGTAAGCCATTGTAGCCTGCATACGTAACGTCTCGGATTAGAGTCGACAAAATATTGATTTCACTACACTTCAAGAACCAAGGTCAGGGAACTTCCACAACACCTGGATGGCTGGCATTTCGCAATAGTGCCGTTCTTAAGGAATTTCCTCCTACGCAGTCCCCCTACTCTTCAGCGGTATTTCTAAACCAGTATGACTTAGTATCCTTCACAAAGTGAGCCAACAATCACATCGGTGTTCCCATAGTCGGACAAAATTATAAATGCGAATGTTTAGATGGATGTTTGTTTGAAGATAGTTCTAGAACGGCTGAACGGATCTGGATGAAATTAGGCATACATACACAACATAGTCTGGAAGAACACATAGGCTACTAATTATGTTTTTTTTTAATTCCGCGCGGACGGAGTTGCGGGCGACAGCGACGGTAACAAAAAGTGACAATAATCTTGTAGTGTGGGCAACAAACTATTTGTTTCATCAGAACCTGGATCAGCACCAGTTTTTACCAGTCAAGTTGTTTGGTCTGGTTTTTACCGGCTTAGTTTGTCAGGCTGGCTTATAACTATTAGATTCAATATAGAATTGAACAAGTTTGTTTGTGCATTACAAGAATCTATTAAAAAGACAAAATATAGCAAAACAATAAAGTACTCTTCAATTCTTGAATAAAGTAAACAGATGTATGTCAACTATTATGTTATTTTATGAAAATTATAAGATATAATAAAAGGAAATTATATAATAACTTTCTCTCTCCTGTAACTCTGTACGCAGGGAATGGAAAAATAATAATTAGTAGCCTATGTTCTTCCAGACTATATTCTACATCTATACCAAATTTCAGCAAGATCGATGCAGCCGTTCTGAGATACCTTTAAACATCCATCCATTCAAATATTCGCATTTATAATATTAGTAAGACAAGTCTTGCATAAAAGTGTTTTATCAAAAACATTTCGTAATTTACCAAACTTTTAGAAAAATGTGCACTTTGTCTATGGTCGAAATATATGTATCTTGGATTAGGACTAAAAGATAATGCATCCAGTTTACCAAGTTAAAATATTTTTGCATATTTAAACACTGCAATAATATTTTATATTACACTTATTGGAAATATTATGAAGGTCATCGTTACGAAGAAAATCAAAACAAACTTATTTACTAAAAACACTCGATCTAAATCAGACTGTTGTTTACAGCATTACGAAGATATGAGATATAAAAGCATGATGTAATATGCCAACGAGACTTGATAGTGAGGACCTTCAGATAAGATGCTCTCTTTCGACCCCCACGGAGTTGTTGCGATCTAGTTTATTGTAGCGCATACTTAAGGAACATTGCTTTAGTAATGCAAACATAATATTCTATTTATAATCACAAAGGGGTAGACAGAGACGTATTTCGATTTGACGTAATCACACAATTATTATCTTGGTTCTTACGATCATTATTTTCGATTTAAAAGTCAACATGATTTTAAATAATTTGTTAATCTATTCGACTTTCGCTTATGGTTCTAGAATATTAAGCAGTGACTATTGAATGCCTAAACTATTCAGTCCGATAGATATCTCTAGAATTTCTATCTTGATAAATCTAGATTTATCTGTACTGCTTTAAGTTTTATTGGAGCTATTATTTAATAAAATCAGATTAACTTATGATTGTTTGCTTTTTATGTCTACAAAATGGCATAAAATCGGAAGCAACGCAAACGGAAAATAAAGCCTGCTACACACCTTTATTACAAAATTCTAACTGAACAGTCCAACTGTCCAGTCTGTCAGTTAAATTGCAATGTTCTCAGTTTTGCCTAAAGTCGAAATAAAACGTAATGTGTGTAGCGGTCTTTAAGGTAAACGTAACCTTTGTATATTGAAGTATCCATTAACTATTATCGTGTCACATTATTGAGGTTTCAGTGACGGATCGTTCACTTATCTAACGCTTGGTTTCTTTAATAATAAGAATAGAGAACGCAACAAATGACGTACGATAATATCCGCGTTGACGTCAATGCATTGCGGATGATTTGTCGTGTGTTGTTTGTTTATGTAAAGAAAGTCACGTTTTCTTACACAAGACAGAATAAAGCAGGGATCTTCGTAACCTTTGTTTCTTAGCAAAGCTGATGCCTAATGTTACCGTCAAATAGTGTACTTCGTTCAATTTTTATTTGTCAAATTCTCTTGTATATTTCGATATTATTTCGACACTTTGTAAAAGTACACTTCATCATTTGATAAGGTTTTATTAATAGATATGTAACCTACAGATAGAGTTTTTCATATGTCTAGTTAAGAGTCAATTTTCCAAATGTCATTATAATCGCTATCGCCTGCAACTCCATCCGCATAGAATTAAAACAAGACGTAATAAGTAGCCAAATCTTAGCGTGTTCTGGAGATACTTTCTAACATCTATCCATCCATCCATTCAAACATTCGCATTTATAATATTAGTAAGAAATATCTATAGTTATTCCGATCAATGCATAATTGTTTTAAATAAATTAAAAGTAAACAAGATATTGTAAAACTGTATGAAACATAAAGACAAACTTGTAAGTCGAGTGTAACTGACCTAAAACAACTTTCGTAATTTTACTTTTTATAACTTGAAAGTGACAGGTATTTTACAGTTTTATCATAAACTAGCTATCGCCCGCGACTCCGTCCGCGTGGATATATAAAAAACTTAATTAGTGTAGCCCACCCATACATCTATCCACATCACATCTAAACATTCGCATTTATAATATTAGTAAGTTAAATAAAAAACAGGTCTTCAAGGTATAAATTCAATTTTTAAAAAATGAATAAATAGTATCCTATGTCCGTCTCCTGACTCTATGCTACCTCCTCCCCATTTTTCAGGCATATCGGTAAAGCCGTTCTTGAGTTATAAATAGTGTAACTAACACGATGAAAGTCGTGTTAGTGTGTTAGATATAGTAAATGTTGCCTTTGGCAATAATAATAATTTACTGCAAAAAAAATATATAGAAAGACCACAAATTTAATATTAAAAAAGATCACTACAATTCCTATTCGTGTGGACACCTTTTTTTTTTAATTTGTTTTTTTTAAATAGTCATGACAAGATATCTAATGTTATTAAAATTTTTAAATAGATGTAGAATGAAATTTTTTTTTATAATAATTTAAAGCAAGTCATAATTTACCTAATATCTTAAAAGTTAGTCGTAATGTAAATAAAGCGAAGTGTTTGATATTTTATCGTATCTTATCATTTTATTCTAAGATTGTATCTTCAATTTACCAAGTTGAAGTGAGACCTTGATTTCTATAAAAACACAAATGTAACAGATGTGATAAATTACTAATTTGCATTGGAAATTAAAGTTTTTTTTTATAATAATAATAGCAAGAAACAAGTCAAGTAGGAAGTTTGGTTGATTATTAGTTGGATGAGTAGACATTCTTACGGTGATGGAAAACATCGTGATGCAATCTGCACATATCTGAGAAGAAATTCAAAGATATGTGTGTGAAGTCAACCAACCCGCACGGGGCCAGCGTGGTTGACTAAGGCCTAGTCACCCTTAATTTAAGGTAGGCTACGAGCCCTTCAGTGGAGACGTATAGTGAGCTGATGATGAGTGACATTAATTTTGTTTGATGAAATGTTTTCCCGTAGGTTTACACCGCGAAAACATTTTGTCAACGATCTCTGTTTTGTTTCGTGCCATGGAAACTGAAGTTTCTATCAGTACGTTACTAGCAAATCGTGAACCCCGTCCGTTTGTAAGCGGCCTAGGAAATTATTAATCTTTGAATATTTAAAAATACTTTTTTTTCTTTTGTTTCAGCAATTAATTGAACAAACGATAGCAGATACAAGATTGTAAAAATGGTGCTCATATTGACGAGGTTAACAAAAAAGTAAGTTATACGACCTTTTTAATGTTTTTTTTTTATAGAGGAGTGTGTAACAGCATATTAAGGGCACAGTTACATTGGTCAAATATGTTGACATTTTATGAAGACTTGCTTTAGTTTTAATCTCAATTAATAAAATTCAAAAACGAGTATCACATCTATAAATAACAAATTAAATGTCGTTGTTAAAGTTCATAATGGCAGAGTACGTTGAAATACGTGTCATGATGACGTAGTTTGTATTTTCACTAAACGAGCGAATGTTCGTGCGAATATTTTGCAAAAGACGAATGAAAAGTCGATCTGCGATCGTGTCGTAATAGTCAATCTGCAAAACTATAGGTCTATTCTACTTAAGGCTTCAAGAGATGGATGATTATCTGTTATTTAAATCACTTTTTATCACCTGTGAACTGTTTTTAATAAATCCTGGCACTTTATGGATATTTAAAAACCTTAACCTCAAACCCCTAACAACCTAAACTGCACCCATCTTATTTAAAATTAGTTAATTATCTCGAAAATGATCTTTAGTATAAGAAAAACAACTGATACTGTACATATTCGAAAACCGTATTCGCGTGTATATTTTAGCTTCTTAAATTCGCGTAGTGAAACCGTACTTTAACTGCTATCAACCGGTTGCAAAGTTCGCGCGGAGGCCCGGCCTCCACGCCCCTATTTCATCAGCACTCAGTCGGCAACTATGCGCTTATCTCTATATTTATTACAATTATTACCAACCTTTGACATTATTAGCTCTTACACTAACACTTGTTATTTGTTTTTCTTTTTTTTGTTAGTATAACCTCTATGGTGTTTATAATTTAAAAATTAAACAATCGAAAATGTGCGATAATTTTTGTTTTATTGCAATCGTATAGCAAATAATATTACCAGCTCTAATAAATATACAATATGTCATTTAAATAGTTTCTAGAATTCGAATAGTTCTGGTTTTATATTATAGATTAACACGTTGAGCGCCACGCGTATTTCTAAGACAATCCCGTTCACGCCACGAGCGCTTATACGCACTGGTATTAAAGGGCCAATGTTTCCAATCGCAGTACAAAATAGTTTACATTTTTAACGCAAAATAGTGTAAAATTTTATAGTTCTCATGTTACACGCTGTCAGACACCTATAGTTGGCGCGACCTAAACAGAAAATCTAGTGTCAGCCACCGATGGCTGACGTGGCGCTCAACGTGTTAAAAATAAAAACAGGAAATCAATGATATGGAACATAAAGACAATGACTGGCATATATAACTTTGTTGAATCTGCCAATATTTACATTACGTGTGACCCGGTCGATATGATCTTGGAAATTGCCCAAATATATTTGATAAGTATATATTATAAAACAAACTATAAACAAAATTAAACAGTTTTTACATTAACTGATCTTTAGAAATTAATAGATTTAATTAGTTTGAATCCTCACCACCGCTATTGACTGCAACCGTCAGCGACAAAAGGGCGAAAATCAAATAGGCACAAAATACAAAGAGGTATAGCCTGTCTATCTATAGAGGTTAGTTTTTAAATCAAACTGGCATTATGCCAGGTATTGACACATACTATTTTTTCTTTTTTTTTTCAAAGAGAATGAGGGGTATGACTATATGTGAATACTCGTGTCATCGCAACGTTTAAGAATTAAAAAAAATCTTACTTAGAGTGCATTTCATTTAATCCTCGTTAACTTTAGATAACTCTTATGCTTCCCGCGCATTGTTATATGTCTGATCAATATGGCGTCGCCGGGAAAATAACGAAACCGTACAAATTGTTTATCATGGATGTAGATGTCTCTATTAGGTCGCGAACCCGGTATATTATGTCTTGTCTATCGCGGAATTGATTGTCTGTCCTTGGTTATATTTATAGGTTAATTTTTCTAATACTTTGTACATAAAGTCGAAATGAACGTGTAAACCGTGTAAATATCTAACATAACCGTTATATACTTAGTTATATATTAAAAATAATTGCAAAATTAATTAAATTGCACAATAAACTATTTAAGTACCATTTACACTTAACTAATAAGGAAGAGTGTTACAGATTGTAATTGATTTTTAATTATTAACAAAAAAAAAAGTGATAGTTTATGGTCGTAAAGGTGAATGTATAGTGAAATATCTTCCTGGTTCAATCACGTGGAATTAAACCCGCTCACTCAACAACGAAACTCGTTTAAAGCTTATGATACATTACTAAGCGAAAGCGATTTACAGCATAGAGAATTTAAAAAAAAACAGATTTTCTAGTATAAAGTAACCATCAATATGATACGTACGTTGAGAAAGGGTAGACAGAAACAACAAACTTAACGCTTCTTATAATAAAACAAACGCTTGAATGCGCTTCGGTTAGTGTCTTATTTTTTTTTGGCTTTCACACGAAGTGTATTTAGCCACAGAAAATAAAGAGACAAGTATAAAAACTCGGGAACCAAATTGCGCAAAAATTGTAGGAAAGTGTCTAACTTACACGCCTTTTATGTGTTACATGAAATTTAATTAGGCTTGAAAAACATCATGATTATTTATTTAATCAGTTTCCGCACCCGCTTTGTTATGTGCGATTACCTTTACCGCCACACCCGTAACCTTCGAACCACCTGTGGCGTCAACAAAGAATTAAGAAAACTCGTAATAATAAACGTACTTAGCTGTAATATATAATATTCTCATGTCACAATGTTAGTTACCATACTCCTCCGAAAAGGCTTTACCGATTTTTATGAAATTTTATATGTATATTCTGTCCATATAAAATTTCATAAAAAATTTATATGTACTGAATATACATATGAAATCTTTAGATCTGACAATCGTACTATCTATTTTATGGTCACGCGCAGACGGAGTCGCGGGCGACAGCTAGATCTATAATATTCACAAGACATCGGCTTAATAGTGACATATAACTGACTAAAATAGTATTAGGCAGTACTCGCCTCGGCAGGGAACTGCCGCACCACCAAATTTGTTTTTACATCATAAACAAAATGACTTCACTTACTATGGGTTTCTAGATCAAAATCCCCGTTTAAATCATATTGTTATTTCTATTTTGTCAAAGACGAGATAGAGATTTTAGTCTCAGAAACCCATGATTAGTTTGTAATTGGATACTACTTCACAATATTACAACATAGCTATTTTACGTGTGGGCAGCAGAATAAATTCCTGACAACTTGGCTCCACAAAGAACACGTACAAACAATTCCATTGTACAAAGAATGATCCAGTTAATGTTATAAAAAAAACAAATCATTGATAAATGACGTAATAAATACTATAAATAAAGTTAGTTTAACCCTCACCTAATCGTTATCGGTGATGAAAATGTAAGTGTTTTGCTTTTACGCGATTTATCAAATTAAATTCACTAGATAATTGATATTGAATAATGGTAATTACTAATAAACATTTATGATAAAAACTTAACCTTAAAATATTTAAGCTTGCCATTTTTAGGGTTTCGTACCTCGGAAAAAAAACGGAACCCTTATAGGATCACTTTGTTGGTCGTCCGTCTGTCTGTAAAGACCGTTTTTTATATTTAATCTTACTAGTATAAATGCAAATGTTTGAAGATATCTCTAGAACGGCTGCTTGAATCTCACTGATATTTGGCATAGATGTAGAACATAACATATGCTACTAATACTTTTTTTTTAAATGCGCGGGCGGAGTCGCGTGCGACAGCTATTTTATAGAATAATTTTCTTAGCTAAACGTAAAAAATTCAAAGTATAAAGGTCAATATTTCATTTATAAATTGTTGGTAACTTTTTAATATTTACAGCTTGCTTAAAGACGTAAACTGTCATTTACATTTTAATTTGTCTATGGTTTATTAATACATTTTTAAAAACAAGATGGATAACAAGTTTTGTGCCTATTCGATGAACCAGGATGTTACGAATTATTTAATGTATATTTATTTATACCAAAACGTATTACATAACATGCGTAAATGTCATGCTTATAAATACCAAAATATTTTTTAAAACTTGTAAACCTCTTTAATCCTCGAAAAAATAACAATAAAAACACATAATATAGATACATTCGTATAAATTTAAAAGGCTTTCAAAGGCAGTCTCTTAATAGAGATATAGTAAGATAAATATTAAGGGATTGGTTAATTAAAAGTTTAACTATTCTGCACGTGGCAGTAAGACGAAATTGTAACCCTTCTAAAATCAGGATGACGCAATCGTACCTTGAGCTTTGGATAGTAACTGATGAAATATACCAATAAAATTTCACCTTGATTTGTACATGTCATTCTCCAATAATAATACAAGTTGAAACAACAAGCCTCTCCATTATGTGACGTATCTTTGTTTTGACACGTAGATGACCCGCCTTTATTTCCAACCAATCAGCGGCCGCCATTTTACCGGTCCTCTCATATATTACGCGCGCTTTGCTAATGTTGCCATAACGTTTGAAAACGCATTTCGTAACGTTGTTATTAAATGGGTGTTAGATTTACTATTTTAAAATATTATAGATGGCTTTTATTTCTATCTAGCTTTAGTAATTGTGATAAAATTTACATTTAACTATTTTCTAAATATTTATTAATTTAGTTAGAGTACTATTTAAATTATTACAATTAATGTTTGTATTAAAAATGTTGCACTTTAACACTGTGCCTGAAAACTACGTCAAGAAAGTCGCGGAGTGAGTATATTTTTTAATTTAATATATTTTGTAAAAATGTATTTTTAATTTTATAAATTTTATATTTATAGCTAAATATCCTATTTATATAATAATATTATTAGTAACAATTTTATACAATTAAAATATTAAAAAAAAAGAAATATAAAAAAAATTATCGCTCGCAATAGCAATATAACAATAAAATAATGATTCAAGAATTTGTAAAAGAACTTTTTAATTGCAATGAACAAAGAAAAGTCTTTGTTTGAAATTAAATTCGTAGCTTAGTGTTCCATTTCTTTATTTATATTTAATTTTATAATATTTGATTTAAGACATATATTTGCAAAAAAAAAATCTTTTTCCTCTTTAAATACTAGTAGTTCCAGACAGATTCTCTTCATTTATTTTATTATGGTTAATTTTGAAATCGCAATTAAAATATTTCCAATATAAAACTCCCTCAAGTCTATTTAAAACAACCTCATGAAAAAAGGCAAATGGTCTCGCAAATGTTAAAAAGAACATGATAAAATTAAGTTGATTTATTACTCTTTGTTATCAACAGATGCGCGCAAGTGGCACTGGGATGCAGTCGGGCCGCTCATCAAACAGCGCTACGAGGAACTATCAAGCCGAGTCCTCAATTAGCCGCACTCACACCAAAGGTAGGTTAACACATTCAATGCTACTACTATTTTACTCATAAAACAAGTCGGCACACACATAAGGCTGTTAGAAACTATTCGGGCAAACTTATGTTCAGACAAGGCTGGCTAAACAAAGTGTAATCGCTCTGAAGCGTTCTATATTGCATTTCAAAAATGTATGGATCTGACGCGCGACAATCACGTGACCTATCGAAAATTATTGTCAGTTCTATACATTTTTGAAGTTATTTTTTTTTATATCAGAAGATGGCAACATTTGATATAAAAAAATACTAATAACGAGCGAGCGACCACCTGAAACCGCTGAAATAGCGAAGTGACCGTTGCCCATAGAGATTCGCAATTGCATATGCGTTGCCTACCTTTAATCGACGGAGGAGAGGATGCACAGAAAGAAAATAGTTTCCCTTTCCATGCATCCCCTCATCCGGAAGGGGTGGGAAGGGAAAGAGGACTATACAAGGCCTCCGGAACGCACACTCATCAGACGAAACGCGAAATTGCTTCCACTTGACGCGTCTTCTGTATGGTCGTGGTGTTTCACCGGGCGAGCCAGGCCAATTCGTGCAAAGATGTTAAAGCGGGCTCTACCACTGTTAAAAAGGGAATGTTCGTCATGGAATCGCTTCAGAGCGAATGTACGTCGACTGTATTCTATACAAATACTGTCTAGTTTGACCCGGTCAACTTGTGACCTTATATCTATAGTCCATTTATTGGCCCCTTTAAGATAGTAAGTATCATTAAGAAATCCGGGGCAAAGTATAGTTCGATACGTTCGTGAACTAGTCATATTGACTCACACGTTTCATTACAATTCTTTAATTAGGTTAGGAGTCAAATGTTAATTTACCTTCATAATATGCGCTGCTGTTTGTTCTAAATCTTACTTCTTACTAATGTTACTAGCTGTCACCCGCGACTCCGTCCGCGCGGGATTAAAAATAGATGATGGCCGATTCTCAGACCTACTCAATATGCTCACAAAATTTCGTGAAAATCGGTCAAGCCGTTTCGGAGGAGTATGGGAACGAAAATTGTGATACGAGAATTTCATATATAAGATAAATGCGAATATTTAGATGGATGGATGAATGTTTGTTTGTCCGGGATGGCTGAAAGGATTTTAATGAAATTTGGTACACATGTAGAACATAGTCTGGAAGAACACATAGGCTTGTATTATATTTTATTTTACGTCACAGTCGAGTCACGGGCGACAGCTATTCCAGAATATTATAAGCAATAAATGTTTTTCTTTAAAACACAAATACTTTTACATTTCATGATGTCTGGATTTTACATCTCTTTATGCAAAAGCTATGCGAGTAGGTCCATAATTTTCCAACAACCGGTTCTTTTTATATAGTAAAGACAAAGAGAACTTATGATGCAATAATAAACATAAGTGTTACTGGCATTGATAACGACGTACTAAAAAAGGAGACAAAGTTTTTTTAGCAAATACTAGTTATATAGAAAAAAATTCCATACCGTTTGAGCGATTGAAATATTGTGTTTCGAACAAAGACATTCATATAAATACTACATGTAACAGACTGTCGCTAATCCAGGTTCGATTATAATTCGTTTAACTTAATAATAATATAGCCCTTTATTCTGAAATTATTTGATATTATAATATATAGTTACAGATATTCATAATTTTTTTTTATTAAAATATTAACAGTTTTTTTTTGTAAATTTACTAATATTTCTTTAACCGTTCCAACTAAGCTCTAGGCTTGTGCTAGGATATGGTTTACAATAGTCGAATGGCGGGATTCGAACCCCCGACCTCGTGGTCGGAAATCCGTACCCTTAACCATTAGGCTATTGACGAGAAATTTATAAGATGTCCCTAATCTCAGTGTGCCTCTTGGCATCTAAACATTTCCATTGTTGCCTGTCTTGTGCGACTCTCCTCCAATTCGTTTATCTTAGTCGATATTTATTAATACTAACTAATTTTATTCAGAGAAAAGTTTCCTTCGAAGAAACTCTGAAATATCATTTTTCTGTTTATTCTCTATCCTGTCTACTAAACATAGGCATGGTATGTGTAACTTTGTTTGTTGTTGATGTTTTTTCATCTTATTAAACTATAGTCAAACCTGGATAAGAGAGAAACCTCTAAGCCAGAGATTATCCAGTCCCGATGGACAACCCCCATAAGCAAAAAACTTGGGTTAAAGTCCCATATTGCAAGAAAAATATCGCGGTCTCTTAGACTCGCTTATCTCGTTGGCTGCATTTAAAAATAGATTAAAATCATTGCTTATCGGGAAATCTCTGTATTCATATGAAGTGAAAATTTTGAGTGATTTTTTTTAATTCGTACTCTTACGACCTGTAATGTAAACATTACCATTGTATTGTATTGTACTTACCTGTTGTGATATAGGTTCGTGCTTTCGTTGAGCGAAGCGCGTCACTATGCGAGCCGGAACACGTCCATGTATGCGACGGCTCCCCTGCAGAGGCGGCCGCGTTGCTGCAGCTGATGCAGCAACAGGGCACGTTGCGACCACTGCACAAGTATCAAAACTGGTAAGTCGTGCTATACTGTCTTACAGCAATATGTTGCTTATCGTTAGACACAAGTATTAAAATATTACGTCACCTATTGTCTTTAAAAGTATATTTTGATTATAGAAAGTCTAGCCGACATGTAGAACGACTGAAAATTATTTTTAACACTAAGATAAATAGCAGCTACTTATTGGCAGTACAAGATTTATCCTTTTCTTTTCTGACATTAAAAAAAACTTTCCGACAGTTGGTTAGCTCGCACCGATCCCGCGGATGTCGCCCGCGTGGAGTCAAGGACCTTCATTTGCTCGGACAAGGAGCGTGACGTGGTACCCGCTGCCAGGGCCGGACAGAAGTCCGCTCTAGGCAACTATATCACACCGATAGATTATGAAAAGGCGATCTCAGAGAGATTCCCTGGATGTATGCGAGGTGAGAAATGTTGCGTAAATTTCTAACCCGTTTCAACTTTAACTTGGATAAAGTACACTTGTATGTATGTAAACGTTCTGTTTGTATGTCCAAGGTCGCACAATGTATGTGATCCCATTCTCCATGGGTCCAGTGGGTTCTCCGTTATCAAAGATTGGAGTCGAAGTGACGGACTCTCCTTATGTCGTGTATTCAATGCGCGTCATGACTAGAATGGGTAAGAAATATAAATTTTATTTAAAACTAACACGCAACTTCGTCCGTGCGGAATTATAAAATATAATAATAAATATAGGCTATATCACCCGGGTATAGTTTAGTTTCCCAACAGTGAAAGAATTTTTCAAAACGGTCCAGTAGTTTCGAAGCCTTTTCAATTCAAACAAATAATCCAATCGTTCCTCTTTATAATATTAGTCAAGACCAGCTATTTTCGTTTGAAAAATATAAGCAATATAACAATTAATTAAAAAGTATAAGAATTAATTATATTTCTACTATTTCGAATAAATTCTTGCTTGTAATAGTAATTGGTTGTTGACAATAGTTTAATAGAGGGATTCTATTATTTGACGATGAATGTAGACGTAATGGGCTTTTGGTGCGTCAAAATTTCTTTACAGCATTTTACCACATAGTAAATCTTTACCCAGGTGCCCCAGTATTGGACTTGTTGCGTAAAGACGAACAATTCGTGCGATGTTTGCACGCGGTGGGCAAAGCGGGCACACCAGGCTGGCCATGCGACCCCTCACGCACTATAATACTGCACAAACCCACTGACAATGAGATTGTCAGCTATGGTAAGATCATTTATATCTGCTATCCCTGTCATTCCTTTCAAGAAAAACAGAGATGATGTATGTTCTCCGCGGATTGTTTGTCTGTCTCCAAAGCCAAACTCAAACAACTACCTCCTGTAGCCCCAAAAGGGCTTGACTGATATAATAGGCGAGGTGATATTCGATTCGTATTGTTTTCTAGAATATTATAGGGATATAATCAATGTATTATATATTATAAGTTTTCTATTGTTTCTAGTAAAGTTATTGATATCCGTCGTGAGTCGCTTTAAGATGTTATGTTCGATTGACTTAAGAAACAAGGCTAAAAAAGTATGGATGGATTGTGTGATAGAGGATATGCGTAAGAAGTGAATTCAGATATGACGGCTGATCGATGTATGGAGGAGTATATACTGTGCCAACCCTCAGCAGGGATAAGGGCAGGTTGATGATTGACTAAAGAAACACGATAGGAGTGATTAGTAAATTAACTTACGTATGAACAGGCAGCGGCTACGGTGGTAACAGTCTCCTGGGTAAGAAATGCTTCGCGCTTCGTTTGGGTTCCGTGCTTGCGCGACGTGAGGGCTGGCTCGCTGAACACATGCTGGTAAATACAACATACATATATTATGTACTATCTTCAGAAATACATCAGTTGATGAAGTGTAGTAACTATTAACTTTTTATAAAAACACTATTGAAACTTGTTGCATAGATTGCTACGTAGAATATAAAATAATCAGAGGGTACATCGAAATTATATAATATCGATACATAGAGTATAGAATTAATGTAGCCTCTTAATACCTACACTATATAGATTATCTTTTTGTCTATGTCATTCATTTATCATTCGTTCAACACTACTGTATTTTTCAGATCGTCGGTATAACAGACCCAAAAGGTCGTAAGCGGTACATCGCGGCAGCGTTCCCATCAGCATGTGGCAAGACTAACTTAGCTATGATGACGCCCACTCTACCTGGTTACAAAGTGGAATGCGTCGGTGATGACATTGCCTGGATGAAATTCGATAGTAATGGAGTATTAAGAGCTATTAACCCGGAAAATGGATTCTTTGGTGTTGCACCTGGTGAGTTAAAATATTATGATTTTGCCCCAATAACTTCCATTTCAAATTTGAAAAGAAATTATATGACGTATAAACAAATTAACTTTACTGTTCATTAACTTAATGAAAACAATTTAAAAGCATAGAAAATTGCTTATAACCTACCATAAAGTAAGCCCAAGAAGTCTGATTGAACAAAAACAATGAAGTAAACGTTTTTTTTCTAATAAGTGTTTTTGTGTTCACTTTGATGTCAATCTAGGTAGTAATTTTTAGGGATTTATTAAATAGTTCCTTATTATTTTATTTAAATTAAAAATATGAAGAAATATAACAGATTATAAAGAATATTAGAATAAACAGCATTTGTGTAACCTTATCGACATACTATCGAATACTTGACGGAAACCTTCACAGGAAGATCACTGTCTTGACATATGAGAGGTTCTTTGACTCACTTTATAAAACTGGTGCATAGATAATAGTTTTCATTGAATATATTGATAATCGTTACTAGTTGATTACCGCGGCAATGTCTGCGAAGAAAAATTACTGTAAAAATATCGATACCAGTTAATATGTCGATCAAAACGATATATCGATTATCGAGAACAAAACTTTGATTACATATCGATTAGTTGTCCCTGCTCTATTCATTGTCTTTTTATTAAGATAAATATAATTAAATTGTGTTAAGAATTACCTATTAGGTATCTCTGAGTGCGGCAATCTCCACTAAGAAATAAGCTAACATCGATATTAACTGAGTTATTTGTCGTAAAGGTACTTCAACGGCAACAAACCCAATAGCAATGGCGTCCATATTCCAAGACACGGTGTTCACTAACGTAGCTGAGACGAGCGACGGTGGTGTGTGGTGGGAAGGCATGGGCAATGCCCCGGAGAGCCTGATCGATTGGAAGGGACAGCCCTGGGATCCTAGTAAGAAAACGTTAGCCGCCCATCCTAACTCACGGTATGTCTATATATATCAATTTCTTATGCACTTTTATTCTCTTTTACATATATTATATTAATTGCAGTCAAATTTACATTATCATAATTTAACCTTATTTAACAACAATATAACTCACGCCCGCAAGCTAGAGGGTTAGGCAGGGACCATGGACCTTCATATAGCTCGGTCATGTACTTCCATCGATTCTTCTACATTCATACATCTACGTATACATGTACGATCGATCTGGCCATTAAAAATCCATCTGGGATTATACTTCTTCCTCGTCTTCTTTAAGTTAGGTACAAATGCAAAATTAGGTCCCGCGATTAAGTATTATTTGTTTTCAGGTTCTGCACTCCAGCGGAACAGTGTCCTATAATCGACGGGCAGTGGGAAAGCGCTGAAGGTGTGCCGATATCCGCCATCTTGCTGGGAGGACGGAGACCGGCGGGTGTGCCCCTTGTAGTGGAGGCACGGGACTGGCAGCATGGTGTCTTCATGGGGGCCACAATGAGGTCTGAGGCCACTGCTGCAGCTGAACACAGCGTAAGTAGATCAGCTATCTACTTATTAAGAAATAGTACGATAAATACGATACCTCGCTTTTCACATTCAATTATGTCTTGAAAGGAGAATTGTGGTATTACATTTTCTATATTACGACTCGGAGTGTGAAATCGATCTTTTATATTTCTAATTTTATCCCCTCCGTAGGAAAACGGATGATGATTTGATATTTAAATGCAGTTTTTGTATATCTTTATTTATAGGGTAAAGTGGTGATGCACGATCCATTCGCAATGCGTCCATTCTTTGGTTACAACTTCGGGGAGTACCTGCAGCATTGGCTCTCGATGCCGCAGCCAGGTCGCAACATGCCAAAGATCTTCCATGTCAATTGGTTCCGGAAAGACGCTCAGGTAGAGGCATACTACATTGAAAGGAATAACACTAAAGAGGGTTTTCAAGATATTGCACACAATTTGATTTATTATTTTTATTAAGCAAGAATTAATTTCAGGGCAAATTCCTCTGGCCTGGTTTCGGTGATAACTCTCGCGTGCTCGACTGGGTACTCCGCCGCTGTGATGAGGAGCCCTGCCACGTCGAGACTCCGTTGGGCTACGTGCCCAAACCAGGAGCCCTGAATACTGATAACCTTGAAGATATTAACATGAAGGAATTATTCAACATCCCTAAAGACTTCTGGAAGCAAGAGGTATATTCTTTTATTTATAATTAAAAAAAAACTATTATTGTATTTATGAAATTATTCACAATTTACCGCCTTTCTCTATAATTTATGGTTTTATGAGTGACATAATTTTGGTGCAATTACATTATGGTATGTAATTTTATTTTTGTAGGCTGATGCAGTAGAAAAATACTTTAAGGAAGAAGTAGGTGAAGATTTGCCAAACGAAATGTGGGATGAATTGAAGAAATTAAGAACAAACATCGAGAAATCATAGACTTATAAACCAAAGACAACTGAACGAAACTTCAAACTATAATCATTAAATAAAATTTGTACATAAATATTATTTATACGAACATTCCAATATAGTAAATAAGTATTAGAATTAAGTAGATAGTAATATGCCAATCACATATTTTTATCCTTAAAAAGCAATAAATGAATATCAGAAAATATTAAAAAAAAATCGATATTTTAATCACGTATTAAAAATGCAGTGGCTGTGTTAATTACGAACTATTGTATAAAAGAAATATACTTTTATAAGTGAACTACGTTGAAATAAATTCATTTTAAATTTAATTTTTCTTTTTTTTTCAAGGGTGTTATTTTGACAGATTTTTTTTTTAATTTTGTAAGAGATAGAGGCAAAAGAGCAAGAAGGAATAAAGTTTCGCCTGACTAAGTTCAAGTTTACATCTGTATGGCTGTCCTAGAGACCATAGCCTTTTATAAAAAATAGTGTGCTAGTGATGTACTTATCACATTTTCTACCAGACAAAAAACTGAAAAAAAGATAAGGAAATTAAAAAAATATGTAAAACATAATCTCTATGATTTAAACAACAATTAACGTAATAGAGAAATATATTAGTCCTTATTTCATATGCTTAGCAGAAAACACTCGAACGCCATCTTGAGTTGACGCACGCGCGTATTTAGTTAACAATGCGTTCACATTTAATTTCTCTGTTGCGTACGACCTGAAAAAATACCATTTTTATTATTAATACAATCATATTAATAAACCTAGTACTTGCTTAAATAAAATCTTACACAATATACGGTGATATTTCATCCACGGTCCATTTCGCCTTCGTACGGAATAATGTTTTAAATCTTTCATTGATATCGTCTGGAAGATCGTTCTCAGAAAATCCCCATACTACTTGTGGCGTAGTATTTTTATCCACTATAGCTATTCCAGATAAAAGACTTTCCTAAAATAAAAAAAATGATTAAGCCATTTACAAAAGAAACATTTTTCCTACGCCTTCTTTTCTTAATTAAAAAAAACCCTATATTTTCTTACATCTGTTACCATTCCTTCAGGAACCGAATCCCTCCACGCTTGTAGAAACTCTGCAAAATTAAATTTACCCGCACTCTTCAACAAAACTCTTGCTAAAAATCGACATACTTTATCTTGTTTGTATTGATAATATTGTATTTCATCCTCTTTAGACGTTTCTACAGTATAAAAACTAAATAATGCCTCTAAAACCGGCTCTGGAACTAGATTTTTCAGACTTTCAAAAGTAGTTTCTTTGGATATTCTATTCAAAGGCCATGAATTCTCTTCGATCAAATCTAACATATACGAGAGAACTCTAAATTCATAATCGAATTCGAGTAATCGATAGTATTCATCGATTTTCACGGCTTGTATTTTATTTAATTCTACTTCTAATTCTGCATTAGATGCTTGCACTTGTTCAAAAATAGCGTCATAATTAAGGAGCTTTGCTTTATCTACCGCATATTCAAGCTCAGGACCTTGATATGATGTTGGTTCTAAAATCTTTCGTAATTTAGACAAACGAGGCTTGCACGGTTTTAACTCGTAATAAGTAAAGAAGGTGTTAACAACGTCTTTGAATTCAATCTTTCTAGGTTCTAATGTACCATCATCTGACTCGTTTGATTTGTTTAAACTACTATTCGATTTATCGAAAGAGTTATCGGAATCACATTCCATTGAATCGTTTGTTACAATTTCATCTCCTGTTGATACCGCGTACAATAACTTCGGTACAAGTAAAAGACTATTGGACGTCTCTGCTTCTTTAACATCGTAAGTTTTATCTTCTGTGCATAAAACAACATTTTCATCAAGATCTCCTGTGAAAAAAAATAAAGATTACATACGGACCAGAATCCTAGAACAGTCTTTTCTCTATTTTGTTTTTTAATACCTTTAAATACCAATTTATTGCCGGATTCAATTTCCTTTAGCAATTTATCATCCAACTGCATTAGCCTCAAGTTGTCGTTTCTAACGCTATCATCTGGGAACATTAATACTTGTGTGATATCAGTCAGCTCGGATTCGTGTAACTTTGCGATTTTTATTACTTTTCTTACATCCTCCGGAGTTCTTTGGTCGCTGTAATCAGAAGATGTTATTTTTTAAATAATAAAGTCGTTTTAACAACAGTTAATCAGCTTTTATATGAATTGCTACATATTCGTCAAAAAAATCGTTCGTACCATACGATTTCTTGAAATCGATTTTAATTTGGTACAGACCTAGAATGATAATGGCAACACATAGTAACATTGACATTGACAGTTTCTTTTTCAGTGACATTTAATTCGATTTTTCGATCCTCGCAAATTTCTTCTAGAATTCATTCACTTTAGTTTTTGTTAACCCTAAGCAGAATTAGTTAAATAAACACAAAATGTCCATTTTCAGTGATATATTACCGATAAATAAAAATGAAGAGAAGACACAAGGTGGAGGCAACCTATCCCCTTATTTGAACTTCGATCCCCATTATATTCCAAAAATGCAGCCAGAATTTATCTATCCTGATGATAGCCATATGGCCTCTACAGCAAGAAGATCTAATGTGGCTCTTCCTATCATTGGAATGTCTTTCATGACTGGATCAGGTACATTGTGTGATATAACCTCAAAAGTTATTGCTTTTTACATAATACAACAATAATCGCCTTGACCCTATAACTTACAAGCTTAAAATTTACTTTACCAGAAGTTTCTATAAAAAAAGTGAAAAATAATTTTACATTTTGACCTCCAAAACATGCAAATATTTGTACCCAAGTGTACAATTTATTACCCAAAAACATTGAAATTTTGCTGTTATCATATAAGAATTTTTAGCCATTAAGAAATATATCTCTTATTTATTCTATTAGTATTAATTATAATCAATAATTGAGTCTATTAGTAAATCAATTTGATTAGATTGTTAATTTTATTTAAATTTAGTAATTTAAAAATTTTAAGGTCTTGGTGGAATGGCTGGATTATACAAAGGTCTGAGAGCAACAACACTGGCTGGGCAAACAGGAAAAGTTAGAAGAACACAAGTTGTCAACTATATTATGAAACAAGGTTTGTTTTAAAAAAATAAGGTGCAAAGTACTTTAAAAGAATAATTTATATTAAAAAGTATTATATATTTATATTATTATATATTAGTATTTATGTGAAAAAGTAATAAAAGCAGTTGGTAGCGTATATGTTCTTCCAACTATACTAAATTTCAGAGAGATTGATGCAGATGGAGATATCTTCAAACAAACATCCATTTGCATTTCTAATATCTAAGATTCTAAATAAGCAGAGGACAAAAATGATTTACATAGTTATGAAATGGCTTTTTTTATTAACTGAGCATCTTCATTTAACCTCCATAGTAGTAATAGTGCTAATTTACACATTATTAGTTGCAGATGCAATTCACACAGCTATATATCAACTCTGATGCAATTTATTTCAAAACTATTTTTTTCTTCAGGTACCACAACAGGCTGTACATTGGGTATAATTGCGTCCTTCTACTCATGCATTGCTCTTGGAGTAACTTGGTTAAGAGATAAAGAAGACACCGCAAACACATTCATAGCAGCCGCCACAACGGGTGTCATATACAAGAGCACGGCCGGCTTACGATCCATTGGTTTAGGAGCTGCTGTGGGGTTAACACTTGCTGGAGTTTACACATTAGTTACAGACAACGACAACATATGGAGCAAAGCGAGATACAATAGATTGTGATTCTACTCACTTTTAGAGATAGCACAGATAAGCAATGCCGCACTATGGTTTGCAAAATATTTACGTATATCTATGATCAAGATTACATAAATATTATATAACTTGAATTTAATGGAAATAAGAAATACCATAATCACAGAATAATTATCAATTTAAATACTGAAATATTAAAAAAACAAATCCATAGACAATAAATGACATTGACAGCTAGTAAGATATGTAAATATAATTTCTCATTGCCATTAAATTCAACCATAAATGCTATATTAATGTGGCATAGCTTCTTCAGTTGTTATCTATATAATTTGTATATATAGACTGTTATTTTTTAGTTGTTACTGCAATTGGCACCAAAGGATCTCTAAGTGTATCGGACTTACTAACCCCATGTCTGTAGCACTTGTCTTTATAATGTGCCCAACCTGGATTGTTCTGTTGTTAGATCATATTGTTCCTGGATCAACACAGGAGAAGCACAATTAACCGTAAGCCTTTAAAAAAATAAAACTATTGATTTGAAAAAAAAATAGGTTTTTTATTAACTTTTTTCCCACTTCCATAATATAATTAAAATTATGGTTTATTCTACAAGACAATATCAATTGGAAGCTAATTACAGCTCAGTTTTTATAGAATAAACACTGAATAAAATATCATATAAGTATTGTAAAAAATTTAATTTATATAATATAATTTTACTGGCCAACACCCACTTTGAGTCACTGCGCCAGTGAAGTATATAATTTTAAACTGTGATCATAAAATTTTAAAATATATATTCCCACAAAAAAAGAGAATAGTCAAATATAAATGCAAGTATGGATTTTTCAGTGTTCATTTTATAAAACATTTTTAAATCAAATCAGGTTGAGCATAGCATTCAGTTAGCAGGGTTAAAATTAACCTATCCTATCTTAATGAATAATAATAATTAAAATATTGTTGTGAAATAAGTTTAATTCTACGCAACAAAATAATTAAAACCAAAATATTTTAATTCAAAACTAAATTCTTGTTATTGGCAATAATAATTCTGTAATTCGTACAAAATAATCATGCAAAATATTTGGCACAAAATATATTGACCATTTTCCTCTCTAATATGAATACAATAATATTTTAGTTTACAAAACTATATTGTGATATATAAACAGTTGGAGCAACAAAGATAAAAATCTTTGTAATGGAAATCTTCACAGTACATATTGATAACATGAGTAATATTATGTAACATACAAATATAATTCATACATAGTTGGATGGAATTTTACATACTTGAAAGATAACATCACACACAAAATCATAGACACAAATTAGAAATTTTAAAATAGCGATGCCTAACGTATAGATGTCCATAAAGTTAATATGTTTAGAACTCCCAACTAGTTCACCGAATTAAGTAAAAATGATTATGATAATCTGCAAAATATGTAGGAAAAGTTGTTCTTTTACTTTTAAAATAATTGACAATCAATATTTATTACACATCACACAAACAAGGTATCTTTTATATAATACTTTGACATTCAAAAATGTTATATATTCAAGACATTCCTTACACTTCATAACTAGTAATTTAATTTACATAATCTTTATATATTAGCTTGAAGACAAACATATGCTCATATGGAGCTACTTAAAGCAACATATAACTAATCAGGTGCTCTTTATGTATTTCAATGAATTAATTACATTGACACAATTTTCTTACAAATATCCATATCTTAGCCGAAGATGACAATTACTTGTCAATATTTTAAGATTTCTATTAACGCACAAAAGCTTTGGAAGCAATTGTTGTCCAGTTCGTGTATGTGGTCCATAATGAGACAAGGATATTTAAAACTTTTTATATAAAGAAGTAAATCTAAAACCAAATATTTGACTGAAAAGTGAACTCAAAAATAATAGCTTTGATAAATGGTCTAGATACTATGAATTATTTTGGTCATAATTTTCTTGTAACAACCACAAACCTTATTTTATTGTAAGATTAATTCTATTAAAAGACATTTATTATGGCTTCAATTGTACATTAGCTTAAGAAATATTCTAGGCAATTTTGTTATGTTTTGGTTACTTACAATAATTTTAATTAAAAACTAGTTTTAGTAGTTGTCTAAGTGCATATTTACAAGTGCTGGAGTTATTTTGAGATAGAACTGAAAATCAATTTTCACAGCTTTATCTGCTAAAGTTACATAATTCAGGAATTTTTGGAATAAGTATTGATTCAAGCACATTTTTTTATAAAGATTTGGAATCAGAAGAATTGAATTGATGTTTTAACAGCTTATAAGATGTCCTATTTTGTTATTAACTATCAGTTGTGTCGAATATAAGACCTAAATAAATATTTCAGCTTTTCATTTAGAAATAATATTCAATATGACATGCATCTTATATTCAAATTTTAGAAAATAATTGCACCATGTTTTGGTCCAATGAGTTTACATGCATATTATAGATTTGTCAAATCTTGATTGGTTCCTGCAGTCTTCGCTGCAACCTCTTAACTCTGAGGCGCAGCATTTTAAATGTCACGAGGCTGCATTCAATATTGACTTCATATCTTCAGGCAGCACACAGTTCAGATCATCGAGACGTCTTGCGAGTAATGTACGAGTATTATCAGCCACAGGAGGATCACTCTTTAAAACTTCTCTCAACTTCAACACCATATCAACAATCTCCACCTCTTTCTTACCAACTGACCATTTCTTAAGATCGCTTTCAGCCAAAGCCTCTAATTGCAAAGCATGCAGTTTATTTGTCAAATTATTATGCCTTTGATGGAACCAGGCACTGAAGTTTGGTGTCCTAAAGAAACTTCTATATAACCCAATCCAATCACCTTTGATACCTGTTGTTAAATGAGGACCTGCTTGTTGAAGAGTTGCAAAAAAGTCTTCTGGATTAAATGGATTAGGTACAGGTGGGGCACGGAATGGGGATATATTCTTTTGTAAAGGCATTAATGAAGCCATATAACGCTCTAAAGGAATCATAAAGCTCTGTGTCAATTCTAATAAGTGTCTCTTAACCATTGCTGTTTGCACCTCAGATGGACGGTCAGTTCTCATTCCATTATGTAGCTTCTTGATAATTGTTTTATCTTTTTCTAAAAATGTTTTATAATGAGTGAAGACACCCGGAGCTGCATCTAATAACTTTATGTTGCCAACTTTTCTCAGTTTTGTTTTTACTGAGCTTGAATCACCTAGTTTAATTGTATGTGGCCAATGTTGCAATGTCTTTGTAAAGAATGGATTGGTAACACCCAATATTACGCAAGGTGGGTTGAATTGTTTTCTGGTAAATTCTTTGAATTCACTGTCATGTATGGTGAAGTATGGACGATACTCTGCTGAGTATGGAAGCGGTTGAATCAAGTATGTAAGTGCTTGAACTAATGATGAACATTCAGTCGGTGAACTCGCAATAACTACAATAGGTTGTGCAGTCAACACAAGCTCCCATAATAAATGTAAATGGGATATTAAACTCGAAAGAGCGTCAAAAACATTAACATCTTGTATAGAGACCAATATATGAGGAACACCTGTTGAATGTATTTGCTTAGCAATATCTGACCTTGAAACTTTTCCCGTCTGATAATTAGGTATGTATGACTGAAAAACTGCACCTAAGAGAGGTAATAGGACATTTTTCCCCGCTTCCAATGACGGCCATCTGTTGATATCATGCGAAGCTGCCTCCAGACTTCTCTCGCCATCTTCAAAATGCCTTGGAGCGACAAGCTTGATCACTTTGTAAAATAAATTAATAAAGGGTAATCTAGTTAGTAAAATAATGCTTTTTTGAAAGTATCCTCGGGGCAAAGTGGGATCCTTGACCTGTCGAAAGTATACGAAGCCCCAGTAATGTGTGGAATCGGCGCGCAAAGTTGGCACACTCTCTTCATTATAATTCAACTGTTGTTGCGAAAGAGGCGTACGTGATCGTAACCGCACATGAAACTGCGTGTCTCCCATACAACCAGAATTCGAATCCGGGAATGCTAAGTAACAAATATTACATTTCTCTTGATCCGTCAAATTAACTCCAGGCGGGTAAACACATTCCATAGCTTGACCCAACTCTAAATCGAAAGTAACCACACAAATGCAGTGCAACCATTCTGAAAATCTACTCCATTTCGTTCGGAACTCCCTTTCTTCTGTTAAAATGTTTATGTCTTCGTAAATTTGGTGTCCGCTAGCCATTTTTGAATATTATATTCTTAACACATATCCATTAAGTTTAATATTTCACTATATTTTACGTCGTAACTGCCTTGTTTAAACATTGTTTATATTTAAACACACACATTTTTTTAACCACGATAAAAACAACGAAGAGGACGCAACAACAGCACGACTCATAACAGCTGTTCCTTCAACATGGCTGCGCGCGCGAAAAGCGAATTGTCTAAAAACTTTAAAATTATAAATTCCGTATCTTTACATTCACAGAAACGTTTTCATTACAACTTACCAATAATCCATTTTGCCTTCAATTTCATTTACAACACTTCAATTAATATATTCTCAATTTATTAAACTTGAAATACAAATAAAAAATAATTTAGAATTGTACCCGTTCGCACAACAGTACAACACAAAAAGTACGTTCCGTTTCTTGCATTACTTCGACAAAAGTTTGTAATTCTAATTATTTATAAACTTTTAAATGTATCGTTAAATAACTGTAAATACTAGTATAAATATACTTCATATTGGAGTTTCTAAGAAATAGCTAATATGTGTGCTTGTGCTGTGTTTATTTTGCTTTTTCTTTATCATCCACTAACTTTTAGGATTCCTTTATTTTTAAATAAAACCACCACTTGTGCATTTTGTTTACTGACGACTGGAGTGGCAAAAAAAAGGAAGATGCTGGAAACTTTTTTATTCTACACAAATAATAATAAAATAAAATGTTACTATGGGCAAAATGTTTATTTATAAACGAAAATACAGGACTGAATTGCAGGCTAGGGTCGAGCCAATATAACTGACCACACCCAAAATTAAGTGCAATTAATTTACATTGTTATTTGCTAATTATTCAATAACATTTGTAAATCAACTTAATACATCAAACGTGAAATAACCATGATGATAAATTATAAATCTAAATACACTACCGGCTACAAATCAGTCACATCATTTTTATGTAATACTATTTTCACAACAACTATTTTACAAATGGAGACATACTGTTCGAAATTGTAAAATAAGGAAATGAAAATTTAAAATTCAGCATAAATGTATATTTGGTGATTAAAAATTATAGAGCGGAAAAATTTTTAAAAACCTTATTAAGAACAATATTTTTCAACATTATGCCACTCAGAAGTTGATGTTAATAAAATTTTCAGTTTTTCCTAAAAAAAAACTTATTGAAATTAATTTTGTATGAATGGAGTTTTCTAAGTTAATTGAATTTATTTTCTGTAACAAAACAATTATTATGATATTTTATGCTAAGATTTTCTCTAATGCACGTTTAAGGCACTATCGAAACAAATCAGCTTTAAACAGAGAAGAATCAAATTATTTGTATTTAAGTTTTCGTTTCAAGGGATATTTTGCAATTATTTTTAACGTGTTTATTATTCTTGGATGTAACAATGACTCCAACTACATACATATTGGGAATAAAATTGACACAAAATTATTAATGATTTTGTTCCACACACCCTGTATAAAATAACGTGGTAAGAATTCAGTCTTTTACGACCAAAACGAATGCTAAACATAAAAGGCTATTATAAGAAATGTAATGGAAACTAGGTTAAATATATTTCTAATGATTTTCATATTATTTATTTCATAGACATATAAATCATAATGTAGCAATATACTCCATCGCAAGAAACATATATTTTTTGATGTAAATAATAAATTAATTGTAAATAATCATGTATTGTTTAAATCTCAGTTGAATTAATGTTATATTTATAAATATGAATATAATTCAAGAGCGAAAAAAATTGCACCAAGAAAATAAAAGGCACCCATAAACTAACAAACATCAAATTAAGTTTTAAAATACTGCAAAGCATAAATATTGTAATAAAAATAAAATTCTCTACTCAATCAAGCAATATTAAACATACCTAAACATTAACAAATATTCACGTAGCTCTAGAATAAAAAATTAAGTGCAATATAACTATTATGTGTAAAAAAAATTATAAAAAAATAAATCGCATATACCAGAAGTATATGTTTTTTTAATTAAAAACTAAAACACGTCCTATCATTGTGCCAATGACACAATTTATGAAAAAGTTTACATTGTTATGGTTTTTTTTTTAAATTGAAACTATTGTGTCAAACACACTGACTATAATGATTAGTATTATTGTCAATGGAATAACAAGAAATAGAAGATTACTATTGTTTTTACTACACAAAAGTGAGCATAATCTAAGTTTTTTGACAAATTGAAATAAGGCGACGTTATTAGAGAAAACGCGTAAACAATATTTTAATTGTTGATGAATCTGGCAACATTTATTGCCATGACGTGTTACTGGCAACATTTGTGTTCGGCTGTCCAAATGCAGTAGGAAAACTTTGCCCTAGGTTTAAGCTACCAAATTGCTGAGTTAACTGTTGAGGTTGTTGGATAGGTTGGTTACTGAAGAATTGGTTGTTCTGTGGGAAAGGGGGATTTGTTTGCATTTGAGGGGGTATCTGAGGGTTAAACTGTTGAAATTGGTTATTAATTGGTTGAAATTGATTGAATTGTTGCATACCATTTTGCATTGGCATATTATTATACATGGGGGTTTGGTAAGTTGGAGCAAACGGGAAGGCTTGAGGTTGTCCGGGAGGAACGGAACTAAATTGATTCACTAAATTAGTATTAGGTGTTTGACTATATAGTGCCAGTATACTATCTTTAGTTAGTTTAGATTTCTCTTTCTCTGTCGGAGCGGCCTGTTTGAAGAAATTCTCCTCTTCCGCTTTCAAATCGGACTTCGGCTCCGGTTTCGGAACTTCGGCTGGTTTCTCTTGTGGTGCTGAGAAGAAACTGGAGAATATATCGTCGTTTGTGGTTGTTTTAATTTCTGTTTTCCCAGTGTCTAAACCGAGCAGATCAGCTGAGCCATTAGAACTTTTACTGGTGTCCGTCTGGCTACTGGTTGGTGTACTCCTGCCTAATTTAGGACTAACTGATGATTTTGGCTTAGGTAAGCTCGGTATAACATCTGATTTCTGTAAAAAAAAAACAATTTAACGATATGTAAAGGATGAAAAAGGTTAACAAGCTAATTTTGTAGTGTAACAAACTCACGTTGTACTTCTTGTCGCCGACTGTAGGCGCGGGGAGTGGTCCCAGCGTAGATGTGGTCGACTTTTTTTTTCTCTTTTGCCGCTCCAATTCTTCATCTATCTCTTTGTCCCTGCAAATGAATTAAATATAGTTTAGAAGAATCCATTAACTCGGTGGTGAACTAAGTTTTGCTTATTTAATGTGTCAAACTTTTACGCCTTAAAACGTATGGGCCAATTGACCATAGGACATGGAGTGTGACAACTAACGCATTCGGTACAATTAGTTTTATAAGAAAAAAATATAACATGGAACTTGTTAACTTACAAAGAAAAACACATATATGTCACGAAAAAATTCTGAATCTATTAGACATGGTTACAAAAAAGCATAAGCAATCTAGTTGCAGTGTACTTACCAGTTGACTTTAGGCAGTGTGGGAGGCACCCATTCCTTAGCGATGTACTTCTTCTGTTCGTACTTAGCTCGTATGAAGCCTTCGAGCGAGGAATCACTCTGTGGCCGACGGAACGAGTCCGGGAGATTAGCTTCATATACTGCACGGGCACGGGAGTTACCCATCTGCTGTAGAGATACCTGGGAAGTCATAAGAAAAATAGTTTATATCTTAAGGAGTGTTTTCTTCATAGAATTAGGAAGAAAATCCGACACTGTGCCGGTGTATCGGCGCAACACTAGCCTTATTAAAATATCAACCTTTATGTCCCCTCACTAATAATTGTGACTTAACTTGGTAACGAAAGCGCGCTATTCCATCCAATTGATTTTAACTAATAATGTCTTAAATACATTATAACAAATAAAACACTGGCTTTTATTTTCGTGAGCCATCTCTCTAAAGCCCCACGTACAAATTGCATTAGACCTAAGTTTTCTTACCACTTGCTCCGGTGTCCAGGAGTCCAGGTTGACGCTCTTCACTTTGGAAATATGAACGCCAAGATTACGATGGATACCGGCGCAGCGAATGCACAGGAAAATACCGAGGTTCCATGACGCCCATCGTGGACCTGAATGTATAAATTAGTTAACACATTAACCCTTGCTTCGATGGTGTCCAGTGTGACGAACAACTAATTAAAAAAAATCTACTGAACTAGTTAAGGGAAAATTACGTAAGTATGACTTTACTAAAAAAAAACAGTTTTGCTACAAAAAAATTCGTTGAATTAAGGGTTAAGTCCTAGCGGCTCGAAACTTTAGTGCGTAAAAGTGGCATTGAACGTGTTAAGTGATTCAGTTTAACAAAATTATTTTAGTTACGTGCTTTTGTTTAAAAACATAGATGTCAAGTGAAATTATAAAAAAAAAAGTTGTATTCGTACATCTGATATCGGTCCGCAGTCACTTCGTAACAGTAAAGGTGTATTTATTTGGGTTTTACCGGGAAAAGTGACTAGCCCTATTCTCGGAAACATATTTTTGTCGTGCGAGGGGAAAATGTTTTAATTTCCGTAAAGTATCAATTATCAATCCAATATGTAATTTAGATACGAAAACAAATTTTATTTTAGCTAGATGTTAACGATAATTACATTGTCTATTAACCTTGTAACACCCTTGTACTACATTGTACAGCCGAAATATTAACAGTTTCCTGTTATAATTAACTTTGAATTAACAATCTACCCTGGCTTCGCTGAGGAAATGTCAATAAAGAAGGACCTAAAGTAAAATTTTTTCGCTGAAAGATAACACTTTTATAAGCAAAATAACTTTATCTGGTTTAATTTATTAAAACTCGTGTTAATTGTTTTACAATTCTAATACATAATATAGTTTTAATTATATGGAAATATCATTTTTTTTTAAGCGCACCCTAGTTCATATATTTAGTATTCACTAGCTGTCGCCCGCCACTCTGTACACACATTATTAGTAGCCTATGTGTTCTTCCAGACAATGTTCTACACCCTTGCCAAATTCCATCAGGATCCATTAAGCCGTTCTAGAGATACCTTCAAACGAACATCCATCCATCAGAACATTCGCATTTATAATATTACTAAGAAGTAAGATATATAAAATTATGAACTTGTTTATATGAATTATGAGTAGTATTAAATAGAATATGAAATTACATGCCTATTATATTATTTTATCACTGTACATAAACTTTATCTAATATTAAATTGTTATACAGATAAAGAAAGGCTTTTAGTTGATATCAGTACATTGTTTGTTTAATTTTTAATATATATTTTACATGACGCACCATTAAATAGACAAAATAAAATAAAAAATACAATTTCAAAGCAAAACTTCATATCTATCTTACTATTTACTAATATTATAAATGTGAATGTTTAGATGGATGGACGTTTGTTTGAAGGTATCTCCAGAATACCTCAACAGATCATGATGAAATTTGACATGGATGTAGAACATAGTCTAGAAGAACACATATATTACTAATTAAGTTCTTTTTCAATTCTGCGAGGAAGGTCGGGCGACAGCTATTTAAATATAAATTTTATCATTGCAAAAGATAAGGAAATCATTCAAGAATCTTATTATATATCAGCAGATTTTGGTTACTTTACTAATATTTTTTGTAGCATAGAGCTTAATGCTTGTGCTGGACTATGGTATATGACAATAGTGGAATGGCAGGAATTAACCTCCAACATCATGATCAGAAATCCATACACTTAACCATTAGGCTATTGACGCTCAATTCGTCTATGGTTTTAGAATAGAATAAGGTATGCAAGAGGTCACAATATTGACACTATAATTGTTTAAATTATTTGTTGACATGTTTTGATTATATTTATACCTTTGTGATCTTCTGTATTTTAAATAATGACATTCTATACATCAACAATAGGCCAACAAACAAAAACTATGACCTAATGATGAGTAAGATAAATGAAATTCAACAACTTAATTTACTTGTTAAATTTACATGTTCTGATTTATGTCTGTCTGTCTGTTACTCTACATTTGTTCCGGGAAATCTCCAAATGTCTAGATATACTATGATGACACTTTCAATAGAAAATAACTAAGTAACATAGGCTTTTTTTATAGTATTTGTAATCTAAAGAAACAGAGGAAGTTGTGGTCAACAGTAAATGTGTAGCAATAAATATGACATGCATTAAAATTTACATATAAATATATGGGGCATTAAAATACTTGTACAAAATATATTGTCATTTCTTTCATTCACCATTAAGAATTGAGATACAAATTTTTATATTTGAGCCGATGATGATTCCAATGATTTCAAACTATTCTTAAGAGAAACTTAGTTACCTTGACCTAGTGCATAATAAATAAACATTTATAATTATGATGCAATTATCTACTATATTTTAGATTGGTTTATTTAAAGTATATAAGTATTAATTATTTACAATTTACGCAAAAAGAGATACATGATGACTACATAAGTTCATATCAAGTTGAACAATTATCAAGTATAAAGAACAAAATGTATACTTACTATATATTGTATGTATCCTAAATAAGTAATAAATAATACATAGTAGAACTACTTTTAATGTAACTTTGCCTTTAACACTCAATAGAAAAAAGGGCAAGATGACCTGTGACTGATTATGTTAAAATCAAATATGTAATCTCCCAATTAATGATAAAAGTATGGACAGAGATCTTTTCATTTTAAAAATTGTATGTCTTATAGTCCGTGAATACAAGGTGAGCATAAATTAGGCTCTATACGATAATAAGATTAATATTTTCAATATGAATGAGTCAATAGTACAGTTTTAGGAATCGGTTACGAGTTCAATAAACTGTATTTAATTTCATCGCCTTTAGCAATACAACATTTTAAAATAACTTAGCATTTAAACTTAAATTTTGTAATAGTTTTAAAATAAAACATTATATTAAAAAAGGAAAATTCAACTCACCCTTGGCGTCACAATCAACACAGTATTTGTTATCTTCGTCCTTTAGCATTTGCATCAATATATTCTGACATCGATCTTGGATTTGTTTAGCTCGATCTTTTTCACTTTTAGAAGTCATTTCAGTTATTTATTTATTGAAAATAAGAAAATATGGGTGGATATGGTAAGCGAACTTATTTGAGACTTGAAGACAAGAAGCAAAAACTACACCACATATTTTTTATTTCTATCCATAAAGCGGGAAGTGACAGCAAATTCAATTTTTAGTGATGTAATCTAGTTTTAGTATTTCATGTGATCTATGGTAAGCTTCTAATTCATTACAATTAAAAACTAAACTATTTATATGCCAATAGTAGAAAAGAAAAATTTAAAAAGAAAATAGTATTCTCCAACTTAAAAGATATACAATTAAAGACTTGGCCAACAGTCAAAGTTGGTTTACAATAATGGTATAAAATGCTTCTTATGTAGGTACATCACTAAAAGTCAATGATTGTTATGACACTTAGCTGTCACCAATGATTTGTGTTTGAGAATTTGCGTATTGTCAAACGTCAAACAAGTGCAAATTGCAATTGCAATTATAAATTTCATTGTTTTGCAACATTTTCTTGCCAATTCATTTACTGTGCAGTAATTATAACGAAGAGATATAGATACAAGTTTGTTTATAACGTAGTATGTTTATATGTTGAAGTAAATATATTAAATACCATAATATTTACTGTGTTTTTTATTTAATTGGACAATGGGAAATCAGCTGGTGGGTGTAGCTCCTTCTCAGATATTCCCTGTAGAACATTATCTTAGCGATCATGCTGACTTATCATTTGATCAGAGGTAAGACTATTAACATTTTATTACTTAAGTAGCTAACACATATGAGATCTTTTCAAGTTTACTTCCTAATGTTACATATTATTTAACACAATAAATACAATGCTTGTTATACCAAGATATACAAAATTAGTAACATTTTTATAATATCCCACAGCAAGAAAATGTACTAAAATGTTCCATTTCTTTTTTAAGTTTCCATTACTATTTCTTTCCAGTCTTGGGTCCACAAGGTTCCTGAAGGTAGCAAGAGCTAGATCAAGGGAGGGTTTGATAGTTGTCAAAGTGTTTGCAGTTCATGATCCATCACTGCCTCTGGCTGAACATAAAGAGAGAATATTAAAGATAAAAGAACAGCTGGTTTCTGCCTTCAATTGTTTACCATTCCAGAGAGTTATTGTAAGTCTATGCTAATATAAAATAAAATACTGTTAAACTTGGATACAAGATTATCCATGACATATTTTTGCTCACAGAGGTTGTTCTCTTACCTGAGTTTCACACTTACGGAGATTGTCCAATGGGACTGAACAAAAACATATTTACAGAGGTTTCTTGCCTATTAAAGTTCAGTTGTATATTTAATAATAATGTAACTCACAACCATAATCTAGAGTGATAGACAGAGACCATAGATCTATATATGGCTGATATATTTATCATTTAAATGGTTTCCAATTACCTTAAGTCAATTAATTCTTTGCAAAATTACAAATCCTTTTTGAATATCAAAGACTAGAAGATTTACAATTATTCTTAATATTAAGACTATTATAGATTAAATATTAATATAACAATTTTTTCTCGCTTCAGTTAACAGATAAAGCGGGTCTTTTAATGAGAGAATACTGCAAATGTAGTGTCTATGATAGAATGTCGACACGTCCGTTCCTCACGGTATTGGAAAAGAAATGGATAACATTCCAAGTACTATATGTGTTGCATCGGATGCACAAACTTGGCATATGTCATGGTGATATAAAGGTTGGTGTAGCATTCGTTGCTCTATATTTGTCTCGTTCACGTACCAACACGTGTTGCCGGCTCAAAGGTATGACATCAACTGACATCCACTCTCTCCGGCATGTACTTATGGCGTGTACGCTCGAGACAAACAACACTATGTTTATGCATACACTACAGTTGGAATAATTACTTTTTTAATATAGTATAATATATTCAAAGTAATTCAAATTGAAATCCATTTACTTCTAACTTTAATGCCTCTTGTTTGAACTCATGTTCAGTTAGAAGTTTGGACATAGTATATTTTGAATATTTTCTTAAATATTGTTTGTCTTTCTCAGCTAGAAAACATAATGGTGACGTCATGGCTGTGGGTACTGTTGACTGATATAGCATCGTTCAAGCCAACTTTCTTACCAGATGACAATCCGGCGGATTTCAGCTATTTCTTTGATACTTCACGTCGCAGACTTTGTTATGTCGCTCCGGAGAGATTCGTCAGAGCGCCTGATCCTAGTTATCGACCATCTGTATGTATTAATTATTTTATAGGCATATTTATTTTAATACTTGAATTAAATTAATTTATTATAATAGCTACTCCACCGATTTTATGCGAAACTCTGTTCCAAGTTGTTTGTGAAGAATTTGGAGTAATATGTTTTTTTATTCTCAAGGAGTAATTTAATTTGTAAATTAAATACAAATAATATAAATTTACAGGGTGATGATAGAACTGGTGGATTGTTACTTAGTGAGTCACCCTGTAAAGTAGGTGAACTATTACCAAGCATGGACATATTCTCAGCGGGGTAAGCAAAATTGTTAAGTATTAAGTGTTTGATAACTTAAAGCATACATATAGAAGCATTACTAATAACCATTTAAAATTCTCTTCTTCTTTGAGATTGAGTGGCCCATAACTGTTACAATATGCAGTAGATTTTTAAATAAAAAAAAAAACTTATGTATATTCTTCTCCACTATGTTCTACGACAGTCAGTTGATAATAATTGTAATTGTTTAGTGGAAACGGTCTTATCTTTGTATATTATACTGTTTTTTTTTCAGATGTGCACTTTTAGAACTATGGAACGAAGGTACACCAGCTTTGGACCTGCCAGGGTTACTGGCATATCGTAATGGTGAAGATAGACCTTCCACTATGACCTTACCTGAAGGATCAGAACCAGGGTTGAGAGAGTTATTGCACTCAATGACTGAACGTAATCCTAAGGATAGGAAGAGTGCTGAAATATATCTGGATGAAGCGAGGGGCAAGTATGTTTTAATTTTGTGTGAATTTACCCTTTTTAATTTTGTTTTATTCATCTGTGGTGTGAATTTAAATTATTAATCTTGCTATGTCTATGGTTTGATTACTATAAATTGATTTCTCATTTATGGTATTTTGTGGCTTCCTAGATAAAAAATATTTATATCTTACAAAGAATTTTTTTTTAAAGAATATGATTTTAAAATTACTTTTTTTTATTTTATTATTATGTACAATATTACAGATTATTTCCTGAATATTTCTATTCATTCCTACAATCCTATATGTTGATATTTTCCGCACAACCAATATTACCGGCCGACGAGAAAATTTTAAGAATACATCAAGATATAAAAAATATTATAAAAATATTTACACAACCCTCCGATGCAAAGAATTATAGAGACTTAGTAGAAGAAACCACAGAGAATAATAACACAGATAATATTGACACTTTAATGAAAGAAGGTTTTAAGGTTATGAATATTAATGTGAATGATTTTGAGGAAGAAAACGATAGTAAAGCTCCGGAGAAAAGAGATATGGGTCCGGATAGTGAAGGATTGATTTTGATAACTTCATTGGTGACATCTTGTATACGAGGTCTACATCATTGTACGTCTAAATTGTATTGTCTCGAAATACTGCAATTGTTATGCGAAAATTCTAGTTCGGAAACGATTTTGGACAGAATTTTACCTTACATTGTAAGTATATTTACTAAAATTGTAAATTAAAAAACAGTATACCGGAATTTTTGTAGACTTTTGACATTCTGAGGAGAATTATAAATTTAATAACACACTACTCGATTAAATTGGTTTAGTTCTTTATACTACAGGGTGTCACAAAAGAAATAAATTATTTTTAGTCAGATAAAAAAAACACATACCATATTTCCTACAATTTTTATGGCTATGCAATGCTATACTAGCTATCGCCCGCGACTTTGTAAGCGCGGAATTAAAAAAAAATAGTAGCCTATATGTCCTTCCAGACTATGTTCTATATTTATGCCAATTTTTACCGAGATCCATTGAGCCGTTCTGAAGATACCTTCAAACAAACATCCATCTCAGTTATCGCATTTATAATATTAATGAGATTAAATACTATGCCAGCTGTCGCTCGCGACTCCGTCCGCGCGGAATTAAAAAGCGGTTTTTTCAGACTATGTTATATATGTATGCCAAATTTCATCGAGACCTGTAAAACCGTTCTATAGATACCTACAAACAAACATTCGCATTTATAATAATATATAATAAAAAATGATATTAGCATTTTTTTGTAGATCCATCTATCTCATGATGGCACAGCTCGGGTGCGTTCCGCAGCAATCTGGGCGGCGACACGTTGCCTCGCGCACGTGGTGGCCCCGCCCCCCGCCGGCTGCAATGTCTTCCCCGAGTACATACTGCCGGAGCTGGCACCGCGCGCTGCTGACTCCGCACTCCCTGTACGCATCGCTTATGCTAATAATATCGGTCAGTTCACTTTTTAATACTATAACAAGGTCACACAAACACACAAGCTCACCTTATTCAATACCACGACATACAACACGAGTTAAGAGGAAGCAATTCAAAGTATAGTTTGATGAGTGTTTCAACCCCCAATTACAACCCTTTTCAACAGTTTTTCATGTTAAAAAGTAGCCTATGTTATTTCTCAGGTTTATCTCAGGACTATCTGTTTACCGAATTCCATTTAAATCGGTTCAGTAATTTTGTTGTGAAAGCGAGTCTATTTATATTAAGGAATTAACGATGATCGAAATTAATTTTTTTCTAATAATATTCTAACAGCTAAGTTGGCGGAAACTGCGGTGAGATTTTTAGACCAGACACAAAATATGGCGGACAAGGAAACGGCGAATATCAACTACGAGACCGAATTGTCAGCTCTACACGAAATGGTAGTACTAAAATTTATTTCTTTGTATTCATAATTTGCTTTTTTTTACATTTATACACTTTAGCATATGATATTATATTCTCAGTAGGTTTTTAAGTTAAAGGGATTTTTATTAATTAAGAGTTTTTAATTTAAGTATGTTTTTGATACAGTAGTTTTCAGATATCTTGACTACTTTTAATTTCTCGAAAGTCGCTGCGCAGAATACCATGTTAGTTGTATCGAGATGCTGGCAAAGGGAAATGC